ATTTTTTAATAAAATAATTGAACCCCCTCTAATTGAAATTTGCCGTGTAAAAGTACTCAATATTTCATAATTTGGTAACTGAAATAACATGTTGGACTGTTTTAACCAATGCTCTGTGAGGCATACAATGTCAATATTAAATTTACTTATAAATAATTCTATCTCTAATTCTTTGCCAAGAAAGCCTTGAATATTTTGATGTAATAAATTTAGTTGTGATGGCTTTCTCTTTGTCTGTAACTTAAGTTTAAAGATTCTTGCACAGAAACATTAGTAAAACTACTAAAAACTGTGCAGTCAGGATAAGTACCCGTTATATTTATTATTTGACATTAAGATGTCAGTTTGAGATCAAGTCATGGTAGTAAGCCGCTAGGTGACGACGCTTACATTTTTGCTTCTTAAGAAAAGCAATATAAGTTTGTAAAGATCCTCTAACTATAAGAAGAATATCTTAATGCAAACTAATATCATGAAAAATATAAATTTAATAAAAATAATATTTTGATATTAGAATAAATATAACGAATTCTTTAACAAATATTAAAAAAATCAGAACACACCTAATCGTTTCTTCGTCTTAATCTTACAAGACAAACAATTTGCTATTGATACCTTAGCAGGCGCATTACATGTTGCAATATTAGGTAATTATAACAATATTTTTCATAAAAATAAATGTATATACCTACTATATATGTTACACTTACATATCACCAGCCTGATGGTACTCTCTTCTTGTACATACATTACGTATAACAGCCGCATTTAATAAACACCTGACATACCAGGATCATCATATTTATACGTAATTGCCAACTTGAAAATCGTATTTTGCATAATTATGTATGACATTTAGCTGTCTATCTGTACACTTTAGGTATCACTGAAATTCGTGTTGAGAAGTTATTTAAGATCTTTATGCTTCCAGTGTGTTTTGTAGGATACGATGCAATATTTATTTAATATTTTCAAGATTAGTGAATTAACATAGTGCACCGTAAAAATTTAGATCCCACAGCAAGTATCGAAAGACTATCTTGGCAACTTGCATCATACATATGTTGACCGGCTTCGGTAGTTCGGTAGTTTAGCACACCGCCTTAGTTCCGTAGGTCGCAGGTTCGATTCCTCGCACAGTACAACTAGAAGTTGACTGACTAATGTAATTGTGTATCTACTTTTAATTATTATTGTAAATATGTGCTTTGTGTGTGTAAAATTGTGTTATCGTAAACAAACATTTTATCTATCTATCTACAAACATGATCTGGTGTGTGGACGATTCCTATGTTATTAGGTATTAGGTATTTGAACCTATAAAACAAGCTCTGCTTAGCTCAAGACTGGAAGCTACAGTATAGACTATCCAGGGTTACTATAGATTTCAGAATCGATGATTCATGGACATATTTTTAATGGAAAAGAAACAAAAGCGACTTAGTAACACTCAAAATGCAATGAGTCATGGCCGTGAGATGCGTTCCTGGTGTTGAGTATCTGGACATTGAGGGAGAGAAGTGAGTCATTATATTAACGCAATGACTCACAAGCTGTCTTTTTATTGAAATTGCATTCGACTTTTTCAGTTTATGTCAGAAATTGTGTAATGATGTAAGTGTATTTCTAAGTGCCGACCTCCATCTTTGTGGGAGTGAAATTATAGGGAGTCCCTATATGTACCGTTGCAAACTCTTTGCATATTTTTATATGTTTATTTTTCTACCAATTTTAAATGTATTTTCCTTTAGAATTGTCATATATTTTTATTGTCACTTTTTGTACACGTACCTTCATTATAAGTATTTACCATTTTCTATCCATTGTTTGATTTACATCACACATATAGTCCTTTCATTCTATAACCTACATTCTGGTCCTATTTCGGTAGAATTCCAACATTTACATCCTACAGGTACTCATTATAATTTACGTACCTATACCTATATAATTTTAGTACTTCTATTTTTTAACTAACTTAACAAAAATGTTCTCAATTTGATTGTATTTTATTTACATTTTTCATCAGATCAGAACTCAGTCATTTTTAAGTCGATTTGTATATATCATTTTAGTACTAAGTTTTAACTAACTTAAACGACGTTTTATATTTAATTTAATTTTTATATCCACTTTTTACCTCAGAACACAGTCATTTATAAGTCGATTTGTATATATCATTTTAGTACTAAGTTTTAACTAACTTAATTACTTAAAATTAATTATAAAAGTTTAATATTTAATTTTAAGTAATTTAGAAAAGAACATTCTCAATTTTATTGTATCTTTTTACATTTTAATACCTCAGAACTGTCAGTTATGCCGATTAGGAAAATTGTTTTTTATTTAAAAATATGTACATGTTTAGTTGATTCCATAGAAAGCTCAACAAAATCTTTTCTGTAGTATGATTTTAAATCAGAATAATTTAAAAATATGCCATTCAGTTGCTTAGATTTTTTCAGAATGATTAGATAATGAACGAAAGAACTGTAATAAAACAATAATATACATATGCGTATGAGTATGTTAATTATTGAAATAGTTTTATTGGTATGAAATTAATTATATAAAATAAAAAACATGTTATTAGGTGGGAATAGGGAATAACACAAAAATGAAGATCTTTTTAAATTTGAAGAGTAAGCTAGTTGTGCCCACCTGATGTAAAAGCGGTAACCGTCTCCTATATACACGAATAGCACTAAAGATATCATGTGATCCGTGATGCAATGCATGTATTATAATTCCAGAGGACTGCGGTGTCATGTTTTATCAATTAATGGACTGCTATCTATGGCTATGATAGTTTTGGAGAGTGTAAAAGAAAACAGATAATAGTGATAGTGACAGTTTATTAACACATTTCTTCACAAAGCGTATGATTTAGTTAGCTACCTAAATTATAATTAGTGTACATGAAATATCCGTCTTTGTATTAATAATGACTTAATTTGATATTAATTCATGTTTTTTATATATAATCAGTAATATATAAATACAAATAATATAATATACCTAATAGATTTTTTCAGAAGCCCCCTTCTTACCCTTTAGAATGGCAGTGTTTGTAATCTCTTGTCAAGTTATTGAGTTTTATAACGTTACATACACAGTACATGATTTTGTTGTCATACCTACTATAAATCATTACATCACATTTAGTATAGGATTAATTTTATAAAGGATGAATAAGCGTGTATCTAAAACCTAATAGTAAGTAGGTATATTAAAACAAAATACAAATGTATTATCTTTATGTTTTTGTATCTACCGAAGAAAATGACCGTATGGACTAAGTCCTTTCGCCTTTCCCTAGGTTGGGAAAAACCGAACCAAAATATATATCTTTTTAAATTGGCTAATTACAATTGTGAATATTGAACTAATTCAAATTTAGAATAGACTAAATTCCAAATTTTATAAAGTAGTTTTATAACTTTGTTATTGTTTTAATATTCTTTTTTTGTTCTGTTTGTATGTGTAAAGAAAAGGCAAAGGGAATTGCGCCCATACAGGCATGTCTGCATGTCAGTATTTGTTATTTCATTAGTTATAACTATTCAAGCCTTGACAGAAGATTACGATGTTGCCATTAAATATGAGGGTAACTTTATAGTCAGTAATATTTCATTTAAGTACTTATATTCAACAGACCCGCTTTACAATAATAATTTATTTTCTTAAAAATATTATTAATATTAATTTGACTTAAATTCTAAAATTAAATTACAAGTTGTAAAGATTTTAGTACAATTTCATGTAAGTATTAAAAGTAGGATATGGTAAGTTACCAAATTAGAATTTAGATTTTGCAACACTAGGAACAAAATCATTTTTTTGTGTGAATCTGTGAAACTAATGTTTTTTTTTTTATTTTTACTCTGCATATATGCAATTAAGGCGGGATTGCTTTAATGGCATACATGCAGATACTCACTTAAAACAAAGCAGTTTTAATGTGAAACCTGTGTATAAACAGTTTGTTAGTTATACAGATTCAATCTTGGTTTATTTCTCATATTTCTCTTTATTGGGCAGTGTCAACATTCATAAAACTGTCAATTACAATGTGGAACCACAGAGCAATGTTTTAAAAAATATAAAGAACTATGATAAAAATATAATCATAGGAGTAAGTATTAAGAAAATACCTATTACATATATAATAAAGAGTGATATTTCTGTTAAAACTATACTAGATAATATTTATATACATACTACGTTAAAATACTAAAGGACAGATTATTAAGATGTTGTTCCAACCTTATTTAACGGCGATATTTAATATTGCAGAGATCACAGACTAGATTCTACATAGAAACTTAACTAACATGAGTTCGGGTGTTCAATTATGCAACGTAATTGCTAACACTTAGATTTCAAAGTGATAAAATCTGTTTCAAATGATAATGTTGTAATTCATACAAATATGGTTTAATTAAAAATATATATCTACACTATACAGGATGTGTTGTAAAAGGAATTATAATCCGAAAGACTCATGACACTGAATCACTTCCAGCAGAAAACGAAGTGGAAATTAATCATGTGACCGCGCAGTTTGTACGTTAGAATTTTTTTATATATATTCTTGTATGAAAGTTAGAAAAAATAAATTTCTATTTTATTGTATAATGATTAAAAATATAGTAAAAATATAGCTTGTCGGGGAGTTAGTTGTTATTCAGTGTTATCAATTGATTCGGTATACTGTCCCTTTAAGAATATTCCTGTTTTTTTTTAAATATCATTAGGCAAACAAAGAATATGACATTATTGTTCGATTAGTATATATTTACCCCCTTATTCTCTACTACCCACGGAATTTGTCTTCTATAAAAAGATATATTTATTTTGGTCATGGATCATGGTGGCATGATATTTTATAGTCTTCCTCTATAAATAGGTTATCCCTCTATAAATGCGTTATTCAACACTAAAATATATATTTTTAAAGTAAAGTATAATTTATGAATCCCGAGATTAGCAATAACCAAACTGTTCAGCTTTATAATATTACTATTATAGTGTTTTGTCACTTTCTTTCAAATTGTAAAAGTGGAGGGAAAGAAAAAGACAAAACAGTCAAAATATATTAGTTAGTATTTAGGTGTATTTACAAATAGGGGGGTATAAATATACTTTAAGTTACTGTAAATAATTTTGCATTTTTTTTTTCTAAGTATCATCTATGTAAAGGTTTTCCTTAATAAGCACCAATGACATATGTCTTATTATTATTTACAAGTGATTTGAAAATATCGATTCCTTTGGAATATTCGCTAACTATAAGAAGGCACTATGGACAATTTTTTAATATCAAAATAGTTAAAAATTTTATTTTTAGCCTCTTACACAATTGTGCCTAATAAGTGTAATCAGTTTGCCTAGAAATAATAATTTACCTATATACATATATAGATTTACAAACAAAAAACATTAGTACCAATTTATACAGAAGAAATATTAAAGAATTTTCTAAATTTGAGTAAACGAAATTGATTTTTTTTTCAAAATCATATTTAGCAACCAGAGACCATAATGTTACATCACACTACATTTTTAAGAATAAATTATATAAATATCTGGCAATACTATGGAATAATTAAGAATAATATAATTCCACAGCAATTCATTGTACATATCTATATCTTCCATTGACGGTATACGCCATTGGAATTTTCTTATATATGTAACAAAATATTAATTAATTAGTAAATGTTTGACAAAACTATAAACTAAACTAACTACAGTAAGTGTGGACTTAAAAATATTAGCTAATTTTCTTTATCGCCGGTAGCAGCGTCTGCATGTTTCCTTAGTGTCCAGTAATCTGAAAAAAAAGAAAACATTCTTTTAATAAACTCTTAAACTAAGTAAGTTATTACTACCACTATAAATACATTTTAAAGGGGAGTACCGATAGAGTTTTATCTATTATACAATTAGACATTTTATCTATAAGTATTACTATATACTGTAACTAAGTACTGTGTTGATTGATTGACTTCATTAGCACTGTTATTGCATAGATTAATTATATCAAAATTTGCTCCATTGCTAGCTATGTACCATGATAAGTCTACCCGGTTCTCCCAGAAACCATAACCGATTATGGCAAACATAATCGGCTAACTGACTTGGCTTCATGCTTATCTACTACCCCGCTAGTGCATATTGTTAGTGGAGGCGAGTGCATCTATCCACTATTTAAAAAATTGTAATATACTTTTTGTTTTTATACTATGAGAATTGTAAATAGCTGGCATCTATATGAAAATATATATATTGTAACACTATGATATAAGTCATACATCAATGTCGCTTTAGCCAGACTCAATGTAAATATTTTCCAATGCCAAACATTTGGTTTCGCATGCAAACAGAATATTTCTACTAAATTACTATATATGTGGGGGGCGAAAAACAGTACGTATGTATATCTTAAACCTATATATGTACATTTCATACTCAGTTGTGTTTGTTTATCTCATAAATGCATTATCACTGTGTACAAAAACTTTACTTATATTCAACTGGCTACCCGCTCCGACTTCGTACGGGTTCATGTCTATGAACCTTGCTCTTGAATCAAAATATCTATTGGCTAAAATCCGTTGCGTACTTTAAAAGATCTAAGCGAATACAGCGGAAGCGACTTTATTTTATAAAAATATTTTTCTAAAATAAATTCACTTAATAAATATATTTTTCGTCATTATGAGGATTTTTTAATTATCGTATTATTGTAAAACCAAGCAAAGATACCATCACGATGATGATGATTGAGAGGTTCTAAGTTCAAATCTGACTGATTGTGTCAATTTATGTTTCTGATTGACTCCCTAGTGATGAACACTCGAATAACAAACCATAAACTCGGTACATTAAATTTAAATATTCCGAGCGAAATGTTGGCATATTAAGTGTTGCTTTCACCACACAGTCGATAGATGACAATGCCTCTGTTTATCCCAGAAAAACAGTCTGAGGCGTGAAGATAGACAAATAAAATTAGCGACAACATATGAGGTACGGTCGGTAGGAAGTGCCGAGTTCATTGGCCAGTCTGGCTGCGAATTGCTGGCTGATTTTAGAAAACTTCTAAATTTACTCGAGTCTGGATTCAATTCGGCATCATCACGCGTCAGACCAATGATTGTCATCTCGTGGTATTGTATCTGTGTGTATGTATAGGTATATAATATATAACATAATGTGTAACAGATACTTCAAATTTATCTAATAAATTATATTGAGTGTTTGTTTGTAACTTCAGTATATAATAGTTTTCCACTAAATTTATATGAAAGTACACTACGGTACTTCGTTGAAAATATATTTTAATATTTTTTGTCTGTCTGCCTATTGTAATCTCTGAAATGGCTGGACAGATTTGCACAGGACTTTCACTTGTAGATATCTAATGTTTTAAGGAGTAACCTAAGCTAGTTTAAAAAAAAAAGTTAAATATCTAACCTATTATTTAATACAAAGCAGACGAACTCGCAAGAAACATCTAGTTTTAGTTAAATAATGCAATTTAGGAAACAGAATTTGGGAGCTTAACTGTATCATGTTTAATTTGCTTGAACGTTCTTAGAAATGAATGCAACAAAGCCATTCCGCACCAAATTGTTTCCTGTTACTGAAAACGTATCGCCGATTCGATTCCGATTAAAATACCCGATCACGATATCACGTGTGTAATTCCAAAAATTCACCACTGTCGGTCGTTTCTTGTGAATATTCGAGTTCATTTTAAGAGTATTTTGATTTTACATACTATGTATTAAGCGGATTTCAATATACTGAGCGAAATGTGGGCATGTCAAGTGTTGCGATTACCACAACATCAATATTTTCTACTATATTTTTTTTAATTTCTACCATTATTTGTGGCTGATTTGAATGTCATATATGTGTATATATAGATATATATGATATTTATTCATATATATTTACAGAAGAAAGAAGAAAATAAATTTCAAATATGGTTCAATCATGGTCATATAACTAATTAAGAAATAAAACATTTTTATCTGTATTGTCTATTTATTCATAATTTAAGAGCGACGCTCTTGTCGGTGGAGCTCTTGCCACTCTTATTGTCTATTATATGATTTATTTATATTTGCACCGCCAACAACTACTCTCACACTACTCATGGTGAACTGGTTGATAACATCGCATGTTGTATAATGCCGACCCTTAAGAAATCTTCTTGAAAACCCCATGCTGTAGTCTCTAGAGAAAACCTCAGCAGGTAGTTAATTCCACAATCTAAGCGTACGCGGGAGGATGCTCTTCGTCCGAGACTAACTTACGAACTTAAGTTCTAGCGTGTGCGGATAAATTCCCTCCAGATGCCGAGCGATGCGATGGTAAAAGGTAGCCGTAGGCATCATGTCGAATAATCTTTGAAAACATAGTCAATTGTATATTCGGTAGAACACACAAAATGATGCGAAGTCTCGCCTCAGGCTAATTGGTTCGATACCACCTGAGAGATGGGTCCAAGTCCAAATTTGAGTACGAAGAACTATGACAGAGGGATGACCCTGAATAGCAATGCACGAGAGCGTCATTTGATGACGGCATGTTCGTGGACGAGATGAGTGCCACTTATCATCAGGTACATTATCAACTTGTTTACCATTGGAATTACCTAATATAAAAAATTGATGCTAATATTAAAAAGAGAGATATTTAAGTATGAAGAAAGGAAGCACTGCAACGATTTGAAAATTTCGTTCACTGTTTTAAACACAGATTAGAAAAGTTCTGCTCTATGGTTTCTCATATATATATTTTTATATATAAAAGTTACGTATCACGATGTTTGTCCGCGATGGACTCTTAAACTACTGAACCGATAACAAATTTTAATTGCACAACTTGAATCAACTGTCCTATCTGGATAGCTTACATCTCAATTTATAGTCGCAATATTATTTTATTCAAGAACCTTAGCCACAGCAACGCGTGGCTGGGTCATATATACTTTATTCCAGGGTGACATCCGTATTGCCGTTCACTCCTAAATAAGTAACAAATAGAGAGATGCAATTACACATGAATAGTTTAGATTTTATGTACTACTAGCTGTTCCCGCGACTTCGTCCGCGCGCAATTTAACTTTATTTTTCTAAAATCAAAGTAACCTAAGTTACTTATTACATCAGCCACCTGCCAAAAAAAGTCTCGTCAAAATCGGTCTAGCCATTTCAGAAATTAGCCGGAACAAACAGACCGACAGACAGACAGACAAAAGTTGTAAAAAATGTTATTTTGGTGTACGTACCGTATTTATATTCATATGCATGTAGTAAAAAACGGCTATTTCAATATTACAAACAGTCACTCCAATTTTATTTATATGTATGATAACTGTAGTAAAAAAAAACTATGTATCATATAAAAATACCGAGCTATTGCAATTAGTCAAACTCAAAGTCAATGACATTGTTTAGATTTGGACAGTAAAAAACCTACATATATTACGATCAGACGACGTTGAAATATCACTGCCAGACGGGACCCTAAAAAGAAAAAATAAAATGATGACTTGAAGGCGTTCTAAGTCTGAGACAGGAGGTTGTAGCGAAAAACCAGTTTCGACGAGTGAGAAAAAAAAACAAACGTACAGACGCTACCTGGGTTACGCGTTTGGGACCATTGTAGAATGAGCAACTGAGTTTTTATGTTTACAATTGATAATGTTTATTGCGTTTTTGTTTTCTGTTATGCAAGCTTTTGTTAATCTGTAGTGGCTTTTACAATTTATGAATGTACAGATAAAATTAGAAATGATTTTGGTGGTTTATACGTATATAATAATAAAAATGCAGTGAGCACGTTTTTGTATATTGAAAATATACAGAACTCAAAATAATTATCGTTAGAATTGAATGAATCTCAGGCTTTGATTGTTATTATACAAATATAATATGGTAAGCATAACTTAAAAAGTAGTAATTGTTTTTTCTAATTGGTTAATAAACAAAAAAGTCATAAATTGTTGACACGAATATGCACCTTTATATGCATATTGTGTCTAAAACTCAAATTATATTCAAAACAAAGATTATTATATATAATATAAGTATACTGCTTAATCACTATGATCCTAATACATTTTCAATTGTAAATAACTTTAGCGAATATACACCAATACGCATAAAGTAAAACTTTTTATCTCTTTTTACGAAAATTGCGTGGACAGAGTAGTATGAAATTTAATAATACACTTTTAGTTTATTTTATATCAACTAAAAGTGTATTAAATTTCTCTATCCATCTATATCTATATTATCGATTTTTACTATCTAATATTCTCGAAGGAGAATACTAATTTATTTTTTAATTATATATATAAAACTTCATTAAATCAATGTAAAAATATAACAGACTCTTTTGTTTATCGACAAAGTCTGTGAACAATTTGAGAATAGAATGGCCCTTGACAATAAAACCTTTATAATGTTCCGACTAATAATTTAACCTAGCTGACCCGTACAACATCGTCTGCGTTTCATTTCGCCACCTTTTGCAATATTTTTTATTGCAGCTCCGCTCTTATTGGTAGTAGCGTAAGTAATATACCTTAAAGCCTTCCTCGACCAATTGACACACAAAAAGAATTTTTCAACTCGCACCAGTAGATCTTGAGATCAGCGTGTTTAAACAAACAGACTCTCGTCTTTATAATATTAAGTATAGATTAATCATGGTTGAATTTCGAGCAGTGGGCGACCACTAGTAATATGAAATTTAAAATAAATTAATAAGACAATCAATACATATCAATTAAATTCTTAGAAACTTAACGGC